TCCAGCCGTCCACCTTTGTCGCCAATATCGGCTTGCAGGGACGTGTAGCTTTCCTTAACATAGGGAGCTACCCCCTCCCCCCCCGCAACCTTTTAAGTAAATCAGGTTGGTCAGCATGACTTGTTGTTAAAGGTGGCTGCATGTTTGCAGTTTCTGGTCACCTTGTTCTTTTCCTGGTGTTTTGCATTAGATTTCTTGAGGACCTGCTACATGATCTTTCCAAGTGTAGAAGTCAGGCTGATTTGTCTTTATTTCCCTGGATCCTCCTTCCCTTTCTTAACATTGGGAACTACAGTTGCCCTTTTCCAACCATCTGGGACCTCATCCAACCTCCACCAGTTCTCAAAGAGGATAGCCAATGGCTCTAAAATTACCCCAGCCAGGTCCTTCAGTCCCCTTGGGTGCATCCCATCCAGCCCTGCTGACTTTAAAGCATCTAACTTCTCTAAGTTATCTATAACCTGTTCTTCTAACACTGTAGGCTGTTTGTCTTTTTTCCTCTCTCTGCTTCCAACTGCACTCATATAGTTGCTGCCCTTATTTGGGAAGATTGAAATAAAAAAGGCATTAATATTTCAGGTTTCTAGGCATTGTCCATTTTCTTCTGTTTAGACACCTCCAGAACAATTCAGATATTAGATTGTTATTCATAGGGTTTAAAATTTAGACATTGTTAGTGAATATAATTATACATACTTGAACAGCTAAGAGAATTCCTCCCATACTAACTAGTTTGGGTTACATATGTGTTAAATGTATGTAAACTTTTACCAGCTAATGAAATTGGTATATCTTGTAAACACAGTCTTTTTCTCCTTCAGCCTGTAATTCTTTTATGTGTGTTTTCCCAGAAATCAAGCTTTTTCATCCTATGAAAATGTACAAGAACCTCATTTTTCTTCTTCTCCTTCACGTCACAGAGATTATGGATCTGATAATGATGATTTCAGTAGATGTTACAGGTAAATTTTATTGTTCATGTATTTCATATCAATCTGCAGGCTTCTTAACCCATTATCCCCCTGCCATGAAGATCATGAAATATAAATGATCTATATCATGTAAAACTTGCTGTTAATGTTTTTAGTTGACTGCAGTTTATGATAGAAAGGTATTTTGAAGCTCATGCATGCATATAATTATATCTGATAACAGAAAAGGTTTTTATAATGCAGTATATTCACTGCCAGAATTTTAGATACCTGAGCTAATTAAATATCCTGACCCTCAGCCCACAAACAATTATGGCACTTACTGCTGATTCTGTTATTGGGTATCATAGGGAAATTGTTGTTCCTAATATTTCTGATTAAAAACATAAATTCGTGTAAATTGTCTTATGCTAGATGTCTGAATTTTTTTTTTTTTTTTTTTTTTTTTTTTTTTTTTTTTTTTTTTTTTTTTTTTTTTTTTTTTTTTTTTTTTTTTTTTTTTTTTTTTTTTTTTTTTTTTTTTTTTTTTTTTTTTTTTTTTTTTTTTTTTTTTTTTTTTTTTTTTTTTTTTTTTTTTTTTTTTTTTTTTTTTTTTTTTTTTTTTTTTTTTTTTTTTTTTTTTTTTTTTTTTTTTTTTTTTTTTTTTTTTTTTTTTTTTTTTTTTTTTTTTTTTTTTTTTTTTTTTTTTTTTTTTTTTTTTTTTTTTTTTTTTTTTTTTTTTTTTTTTTTTTTTTTTTTTTTTTTTTTTTTTTTTTTTTTTTTTTTTTTTTTTTTTTTTTTTTTTTTTTTTTTTTTTTTTTTTTTTTTTTTTTTTTTTTTTTTTTTTTTTTTTTTTTTTTTTTTTTTTTTTTTTTTTTTTTTTTTTTTTTTTTTTTTTTTTTTTTTTTTTTTTTTTTTTTTTTTTTTTTTTTTTTTTTTTTTTTTTTTTTTTTTTTTTTATGATGGGCATCAAATTTAAAGGCCAAAAAAATCTTAATTGTTCCATAAAGAAAGTTATGTTTATTTAATTATGCTGATTCTCGGTATGGACCAATATTCTTATTAGAAATTGTTTAACATTTCTTGCACCATAAATTCATTTTTAAGCAAAATAAAACGGTTGGAAATGTATGATTTTCAGTTCTATGGTAGTGTTGCCCAGAGATCAAAATACTAAGGGTGTAACCATACTATTAGAAAAGTCAACAGAAGCTTTTTAACTTTTTTATGGGAGTTGGATCAGGCCTTCTGAAAATTTTAGAAAATCGTTAGAGACCTCTATTTGTGATCTGGAAGCATTATATCCAGACCAAAAATCAGCTGTTAAAAGAATGCCAGCTTCACAACATTTACAGAACTGTTGTCCTAAGCGTCACAGATATTTAAGTCTGGTTTCATTGTCCCTCCATAATTTTTGTTCAGACCTAATCTAATTAACACCTGCCTCTGATAGTGACTCACCAGTGAAATTATTTCCATATACACTTAGAGCAGGGGTTGGCAGCATTTTTGGACAGACTGCCAGAAACACCTGCATCCTTGATTTTTAAGATGTTGGTGTGTCAGGGGCAGATCTTTGTAGTGGCAGTGCAGCCCCAGCCCCTTCCCTGCCATCTGCCCTGAGGCGTGTGCACCAAGCAAAATGCCTTTGAGTGCCACGTTCTGGCACCTGTGCCGGGGGTTGCCTACCCCTGATTTAGTGGATTAGAATGCAAGTTCTCAAAGTACACAGGAGAGACTACTGAAAAAAATTATAAAGAATGATGAAATGGTATTCCAAAAGATTAGGTTTATACATTAGTGTTTCCCAGGGGTGGACAAAATATGGCACCCACCGATTCATAGATTCATAGATGTTAGGGCCGGAAGGGACCTCAATAGATCATCGAGTCCGACCCCCTGCATAGGCAGGAAAGAGTTAGGGGAGAGCACCACCTCCCTTGGGAGCCCGTTCCAGACCTTGGCCACTCTAACTATGAAGAAGTTCTTCCTAAGGTCCAATCTAAATCTGCTCTCTGCTAGCTTGTGGCCATTATTTCTTGTAACCCCCGGGGATGCCTTGGTGAATAAATCCTCACCAATTCCCTTCTGTGCCCCCGTGATGAACTTATAGGCAGCCACAAGGTCGCCTCTCAACCTTCTCTTGCGGAGACTGAAAAGGTCCAGGTGCCCTAGTCTCTCCTCGTAGGGCTTGGCCTGCAAGCCCTTAACT